TATTATTTGGGTCCTTGGACCTTTGGGGTAGGTGAGCATATTACAAACCACGAGTGTTCTGTATAGCCGTGACGGTGGGCGGACCTAAGTTATGATCTGAATATAACTTCATTGTTTTCATACGTGTTTTTATACCTAGTGAGGTCCTCGGCCGAAAAACATTTCGGCGGCATCACAAGTTAACATGCAAAGCAAACCACACACACACGTGAGCGCATGATACAACAGAGTGGCGTTCGCAAGTACCTTCCCCTAGAGCATAAGCCCTAAACCCAAAAACCCTACACCCTAAATAGTAGTTTCCATTTTCTTTTCCATTATCCCTATACAACCCCTAATTATTGTTACTATGATAAATCCTTCATAAACCCTAAACCCTACTGTACCTGGAGACCTGCCAGAGCTCCCGTAAGGGGCAAGAAGTCTTCCAGAGCAAGGGCGAGCTGATCCAGATACGAAGCGGTACTCCTTACTTGTGCTTAAGGGACAGTGGGGGAGTGGATCACTGTAAAAATGTGTGTCTTTACCCTAGAATAACCTTATACTTTCCCTTATAGTTCTTGCATAATCACATAGAAGCACCCCTAAACCCTAAACCCTAAACCCTAAACCCCCCCCCAAAAAAAACATATGTTTACTCCCTCACTGTCCCTCCCCGCTCAAAGCTCCAGTAAGACTCTGCTCCAGAGGGCAAGAACCTGCCTTCCAGTCCATGGCTTTTGGCTCTACAGAAGGGTCTGAGGTTTAGGGTTATGAATAGGGCTTAAGATTTAGGGTTTAGGGCTTATGGTTTAGGGTTTATGGTTTAGGGCTAAATAGGTTTAAGACTTAGGGTTTAGGGAAGAAGGACCAAACGCACTGTGTCAAACAAGGCTGCGCAAATTACAACTAGACATATTCTGGTGGACCATACTGTGCATGCAGGAAATCTTGCACCAAGTGATAATATGTCCTATAGCCTAGAAACTACAGTAGCTTGGGGATCCTAAGTGATGCGAGATTTCCTCCATCCACTGTAATACAACTAGGCACCTGCGTATGGACCATAGAAAACTCCTACAAAACCTCTGGCTAGAACTTCATGATGTTCGTACTGACACCTGCACCTCAAGCAATTCTGCAGCTGTTGAACATCAGCTCCCAGTGCCCTCCCCTCCGCTTCTCCTTGGTAGACTACAGCCTTTCTGACATGGTTCATATTCGGGCATCCATGCTTAAGGCAGGGTGGTGTTCTTGTTTTTTTCTGTGCTGTTCCAGAGTATATGACTGAATGTGGTACTTCACCATGCCATGCTGAAATGCCCCTACAGTGGCCCTACAGCGCAGCTCCTGAAGCCTGAGCATGCAGAGGCCATCCGAATTGTACCAAACCCTGCAAACCGTAGCTCTAACTGTCGCTAAACCACACACCAAATTGAGTAGCGTTAAATTATTGAGTAGTGGTTTTTTTGGTGGTTAAACCCAGTAAGATTATATTCCTTATATAAAATACTATACCCCAAAAGGAGGATACAATCTTACTCTATCTTGGGTACATATTATCCTCAAAATAAAATACTACGCAATTGGAAATAGTTGCCTGAATGATTTGAAGCAGGCTTCCGAGTTCATGGTGTTCTAGCACTGAAGAAGGAAGATAATAATAGGATTTTGGTAACCCCAACCCCCAGAATTAGGACCCTATAACCAGCATATGATAGTCATAGGGTCCCAATTATGGGGGTTGGGGTTACCAAAATCCCTTTATTAGAAGAAGGAATACTACTGAGTAAGGTTTACCTGAACCCTGGGTGTCCTAATTCATTGGAGCATGCCTGATGCACCGTATAAACAGGTAACTCGCAACAAAACCATGAGGTAGTTTCCCAAAACAAGGGGACTCCAATGTAGACCTCAAAATACAATAATCCTTATCACGGGGGACCCCGAAAAGGTACACCTAATTTTGGGAAACCCTAATCCCTATAATCCTCTTTATGTTCCGAATGTCCATGTAATGTTCCATTGTCTTTTTCATTGGACTCTCCACTATTGGGGTAATATCCATATATGAAGAGTCCAGGCAGTGCTCAATATCACACAGTACCTGACTGAAACGTATCCGAGTGCTCAGTATGAATATCTCTGAGAGTTGTAATCTACTTACATTGGGTACTTCCCCCACCTATCAACAGTGCATAGTAGGGGTAAACATAAGGGCTATATACACCTATAGCATGAATAATATCCATCTGTTACAGAGGGGGGGCAGCACCCAAAATCTACTTTCATTCGTAGCCCTTCGGGACTTATGGAGGAGCCTTCCACTCATGGGGCAATATCAAAACATTATTGGCCTCATAGTAGTTTATGCCTGATTGCAAGGTTCCCCAGGAACCTCTTAATGATAAGGGTACCCTTTTTTCTACTGTTCTGTTTAATAAGGAGACCCCACTGGGGTACCTAGATTGGGTTTTAGTACAACATGAGCTAAAAGGCATATCCAACAGACACCTCGTTTACAGGAAGCACGTGTTCCGGATCCAGAAAGATGAATGACACCTCCTAAACCCTAAAACCTGCCTTGACTCACATACCCCATCCCTCTGTCTGGGCACTTTGTGTCGAGCATCTTTAAATACAAAAGTAAGTACCTGGACCCCAAAAGTATGTAAAATAATGGCCCTTATGGCTGTTATTATGGGTTCAGGGCTATTATTTTACATAATTACTTTTGGGGTTTAGGTACCCCAAGAAGGGGTAGTGTAAGGGTGTAGGTCTTGCGGTGGATTAGATGATGGCAAAGGCTTGAACACATGCGATCTTTGGTAGGGC